GTAGATTGGAAGATCATAACTTGTGCAATCGATCTAATGGACTCTGGTACGCTTCCGCTAATCTATGGTTTATTCTCTTGAAATTGAATGTGATTTTTTGAGTTCTAACAATTGGTATCAGAGCCCATTCATGTTCAGTTTTTTCTTGAGAAATTTATTTATTTTTTCGATTTTTTGGCCCTTAGTCATTGTTGTTCACCGATTATAAAGTCATCAATTTTCGATTAATGTTGCATTAGGTGTCTTGAGATGGGATTTACCATTATTTGAATTTATTGACATTGTTGGTATTATTTTTTTTTATTTTTTTTTATTTTATGAACATGTTATTTATGTAATCATTTTGTTCATTTTTCACTTGTTGCTACTGTATCTGCTAATCTCAATTCAGTTCCAATCCTTAAGGGTGACAGCTTTAAGGATTGGAAAGAGAACATTCACATTGTTCTTGGCTGCATGGATTTAGACCTTGCGTTAAGAATGGAAAACCCCGCTCCTCTTACGGATGCTAGTTCCTCCGAGGATAGGAGGATTTATGAGAAGTGGGATCGTTCTAATCGCTTTAGTCTTATGATCATCAAGAGTGGCATACCTAAGACTTTTAGAGGTGCGGTGTCTAGTGAGATCACTGATGCTGCAAGTTCCCTTGCTGAAATAGAGAAACGCTTTGCAAAAGGCGATAAGGCTGAAACTGGTATTTTTTTAAAGAAACTGATTTCAATGAGGTTCAGAGGCAAGAAAAGTATAAGAGAGTACATCGTTGAGATGTCTAACATTGCTTCAAAGTTGAAGTTGCTAAAGCTCGAGTTGCCGGATGATTTACTCGTGCATTTAGTTCTTATTCTCTTCCTCCACAATTTGGTCAATTCTTGGTCAGCTATAATATGCAAAAGGAGAAATGGACTCTTAATGAGCTTATTTCACATTGTGTGCAAGAGGAAGAAAGGTTGAAGCATGGAAAGACTGATAGTGCTCATTTGTTAAACACCTCTAAAGAAAGGGGCACTAAAAGAAAGAATGAGGCTGCTAAAAATAAGGGTCCTTCTCAAAAGAAACAAAATAAAGTTCAATCTCAAAATCCTGAAAATTGAGGTTGTTTCTTTTGCAATAAGGAAGGACATCAGAAGAAGGAATGTCCAAAATATCACACTTGGCGTGCGAAGAAAGGTACATTTCTATCTTTGGTCTGTTCTGAGGTAAATTTGGCTTCAGTACCAAGAAACACTTGGTGGTTAGACTCTGGTGCTACTACTAATATAAGTGTTTCAATGCAGGGTTGCCTGAGCTACCGAAAACCAAATGATGCTGAAAGATGCATTTATGTAGGAGATGGAAAATCGGTAGAAGTGGAAGCAATTGGGCATTTCAGATTGT